AAAATAAAAAAGTTTAGGAATATAAATATAGATTAACAGTATATAAATATATGATAATTTTTATACGTGATAAGTGCTTCCATATAAATGATTTATAAATAGATCTATATATAAGATGTGCCATATTATATAAATTTACATTTATATTATCGATATTTTCTTTTCTTTTTTTTTTTTCTTTTCTCTCGATCATCAAATCTATATAATAGATATAATAGATAGATATCTATATAATATTGATTCACATAATGTAGATCTATATAAAATGTATTAATCTTATTTTGTATTATTTTGTACTATTTATAGATCGTTCATATAGAAATATATATATATATATAGGTATAGATAATTTTTCATTTTTTTTTTTTTATATTATCGATTCTCGAAGTGACCTCTTCGATTTGATATATATATATATATATATATATATATATATATATATATATGTATGTATAATATATACATACACACAAGAAGTATTTCACGAACACGTTCTTACTGTATACGCTTAAATGAACAAGAAAGAGTGAGAGAAAGAGAGAGAGAGAGAGAGAGAGAGAGAGAGAGAGAGAGAGAGAGAGAGAGAGAAAGAGAGAGATAGACAGTATAAAAGAATGAAAGAGACAGAAACTCGCAATCTTTCTTTCATGTGTCTCGTTTTCTCTGAATAAGTTCTCACTAACACTACACAAAGAGATTCTTTCCCATTTATCCTTATTTTCTTCCTCTCGTTTGAGATTCTCTCTTCTTACTTCTGTCTCTCTTTCAAACGTTAATACGATACTCGGCATCGAGCTACGACCAACTGACGTTGAACTTTCTACCTTTTTCTTCCTCTTCCTAACAAAAAAGTTCGTGATTTATATGCATATATATATATATATATATATACATATATATAAATATATATAAAAAATTAGAAAGTTTATAAAACGTGTACAACGAGGAAATTAGTTCACTAAGATGGTTTTATTACGAAGTGAAAACTGTACGAGAATTCTTTATACCTATGGCACCTTTGGTAGGTAACCAACACACACATAATATATATATATATATACGTATATAAATTAAAAGTTTATAACAAAGGAAGTGTAAATTATGCGAAAATTCTATACACGTATATCTTTGGTAGATAGGATAGATACGTACATATACTAGATATAAATATACATATATATATATATATATACACACATTTATATATATGGATATATGTATCACCGCATTTATTAGGAGACTAAAATTTTTCCTTGTTTCTTTTTATATTGTCATTCAAATCAACTGTTTTGTCTACAGCTACGTATACGCATATATGATATATTTAAATAATATATTTTTGTTTGCGTACGTAAAGTTAACTTCAACTTCAACGTCGTAAACTTAATATCTCAATATTATTGATCTATTTTTTATTATTACTGTGTTTAAGAAAGACGTGTGATAAGAAAAATGCGTAAATATTTTTAACTATCGATATTCATTCTTGAATTTATAATACATATACATATTTCTATACATATTTATTTTACATGTTCATTTATAATTTATTTCGATCGATAATGAATTGCATTCTCGAACGTTTTATATTCTCAGTGATATGTATGATATTGATTGTGGGGGAAAAAAGAAAAAAGAAAAAAGAAAAATCAACAAAGAAATGATTGATGAAATGATCAAACAGTCGATCTATCAAATTCATAATTAACATTATTTTTTGTTACTTTTGTGATTTATTTCATATATAATTTATTTTTTTTCTCTAATATATAACACATAAAAATTTTTTTAATACACAATATTATTATATAGATCAAACAAATACATTTGATTTTTCGTTTTTTCGAATATTATCTACGATGTGAATTTCGAGTTTTTCTAACTACTTTTTTCCGGAAAAATTGTTTAATTGCTAAATTAAAAGTTGAAATACATGTATATATACTGTATAAAAAATTTAAAAGTCGATAGTCGTAAAATATATATACATGTGTTTTTCTATACATACATGAGTGATACGTTAACATTTGCCACGTTATTTTTATCTATATTGATATAGATTTATCGATTTATAAGACTTTTTGCAGCTATTGAAAAATAATTCCTTCTTAATTTATAATAAGAGAGATAGCATTTTTTTCTAATGTTTTTATTAAAAATATCATTCTACAGTTATTAGAATAATTATTGTTTCTTAATAATTAAACAGCTTTAATAGTTCTGATAATTACGCTAGATGTATAATTATACTAATTATAATAATTACATTGGGATATAATTATACTACAGATTTTTACAACTTTTTGTTTCTAGCCAGAGAAAAAGACTGCTATATAAGAAAATTTTATAAAAATAAAATTCTTTATATTTTTCTAAAGTAAAAAAAGAAAAGAAAATTTTAAGTGCAATTTGTAAAACATTCTTATACAAATTATTTGAAAAATTGATCATTTTTATATAGAAAGATAGATTCATATAGAAAAATACAGAAAGAAAGAGAGAGAGAGAGAGATCCATATAAATCTATATAATATTGATTTATCTATTTATATAGATCTATATAAAATAAATACAATATAAACATAAAAAATAAACATAAAAAAAAAAAAGAAAAAAAAAGAAAATGTCATGTCAAATAAGATTGCAAAACTTACAAAATATTTCGATAATTTTTATAGTATAACCGGTATCGACTAATTATAAATCAAACATAAGATAACATTTACTACTCTATCATTTTCGAAAATATATTTCAATTTTTAAAGTCTTACAACTCATGATTACTTACTTATTCAACGTTAACTTATAGGATAATTTATAAATCGACCTATAATTACTTATAATTACTTATTGCACCTGCATGTTCACGAAGTAAAATCAATATATGTATATATGTATTTATGTATTTATTAAAAAGAAATCCTGTCGATTGTAACAATATATACATAGGTAACAGCATATAAGTACATATATGCATACATAGTTATACTACCTTCTCTCTTATAAAATCAAGGTAGACTTCGATTACTATTTGATAGTAGATTTTTCTTATTACTTCGCGTAACCAAACGAGAATGGCATTTATAATATTTTTATATATATATATATATATATATATATATACATATGTATATATACATTATTTAGTTTACATATTGGAAGTGGCCGTTGATTTTAATTTAAGTTGGAACAGGTTTTTCAAATTAATTTCATTATTAGTTCGTTGACATAGAAAGGTGTGTATTTTAGATCGGCAATTCGATTGATCGAATTGTTCTTATGTAATTGTTGACTAGTTTTTCTTCTCTTTTTTCTTCATTTTAATTTTATCGATAAAATTTTCATTAATTTCTATTAATTTTTTTTTAATTTTTCTTATTGATATTTTTTATTTTTTTTTTATTATATATATACATAGAATGACTTACATATATAACTCATTACAAACCAGTCTTTTAAATAGCTTTATTTAGGGAAATGATTGAAGTTAATAATAACATTTAAATATGAGATTAATTGTTATTAGAATAACATTAGAGATAATTTGCATTTATTTTTGAAATAATATATATATATATGTATTATTATTTAATGTAATAATGATAGTAATTTATCTTTAATTCGATGTTAGATAACGATGAAACGAATTTGAATTTTCGCAGGTGGAGAAATACTATTCATTTATTTTCAAGGACAGATATATGTATACATACATACACACACACGCGCGTATGTGTATACGCACACATATTATTTTTCAATATAGTAATAGTAATAGTAATAGTAGCAGTAGTAAGCAATTAATAACTATCGAAATGAAAGGTTGTAGATATCAGGCATGGTTTCTAGAAAATATACTTGCAGTAGTTAATTTCTTCTGGCTATAGTGAGAGAATAAGAGAAAGAGATAGAGAAAGCGAAAGAGAGAGAGAGAGAGAGAGAGAGAGTGGGGGAGGAGAGGGAGAAAAGAGAAATAGAGGTACATTATTCAAAAGAACGATAGAAATTTCTTGAAGGAAAATTTAAGAGAAGCTGCGTAACATTCACGCCAGAATTATATATATATATATTCTCCTGTATTTTATTGGAACAGACTAAGAGAGAAAGAGATTGAAAGGGAGGGAGAGAGAGAAGAGAGAGAGAGGAAAAGAATGAGAAGAAAAATCGTTGAGTGTGATAATGATACACGTATACGTAAACGCCAAAGAGCCGCCTCTAGAAATCTTGGAAGTTGCATCTAAAAAAATGTGAAAAAGAAAGAAAAAAAAAAAAGAAAAAGAGAAAGGTGAAAAGACATAAAATCTCCGTGTCTGTTTAGAATTGTCTTCTTTCTTTCTTTTTTTTTTTTTTTTTTTTTTATATTTTTTATTTTTTCTTTCTTCCGTTTTATTTATGTTAGTAAAATTTTAAAAACTAACGAATAATTTCAATTACCAAATTTTCAAATCATAAAATATTAGTCGGTTAGTTAATTTCATAATATTTTCAATTTCCATTGTGATCCTTTTTTAGACAAAATTAGAATTCTTTTTTTAGACAAGATTAGAATTAATAACAAAACGGAGAAATAGAAAATGAAGAAGTAAATAATTTTTGTAAGCGTTATTTATTACGCGTATACGATTAAGCCAAATATTGTTCCATTAATTATTTACCGGTTATATTTTATCATACTTAAACTGATTGTATAATAATGAACTTTTTAAATGAAAACGAACAGCTCTCAATGTCCTTCGAGCTCATATCACACAATGCTCGTTAGAAACGATAAATATCAAATTGCATGTAGCGATAATTTTTTTTAGTCTCGTCCGTTTATTAGGCTTTCGAATGAACACGTAATTACTTTTTCCTCAATTGTTAATTAAAAAATAAATAATATATAGATTGTTTACATAGGTGTATATATATATATATATATATATATATATATATATATATATATATGTATGTATGTAGGTGGATAAACGCATACATAATAAATATTGTTTATATTTCAGTGAACATGTCGAAGTCAGGAAGCATTAAAGATGGGGAAAAGGGTCCTTATGATCCTGTGCCAACCAATAATGACGCAGGAGGTGACGAAATTAAACTTGAAGCAAAAATGTCACTTCTCAATGGTGTCACCGTTATCGTTGGTTCGATCATCGGTTCTGGAATCTTTGTCAGTCCAACCGGTGTTTTAAAACATACCGGAAGTGTTAATGCTAGTCTTTTGGTATGGACCGCTTCAGGACTTTTTTCCATGGTGAGTTCTTTGCCATAAAATTTACGAAAGAGAAAATGAAAAAAAAAAAAAAAAAGAAAAAAAATATTACATATGCATCTTTAAAAATATACAATTTATTAATATATTAGATATAATCTAATAAAAATTTTTTACATATTTTTAATATATATATATATAATATTTTAATTGTTAACTACATAACTATTATTAGTATATAATAGTATAGTGTTAGAGTGTATTACTATATTAGCACTATTACTATTAATATATTTATAAATATTATATCAATTGATAATATTTATTATGAATATAATTTTATAAAAAAATTTTAATAAAAATATGTCATTTTGTCTATTCATGTTGTGTTAATTTTATTAGAAAAAAACAAAAAAACAAAAAAAAAATAAAAAGAAACATATCTAAACAAACTTATTACCTTTTCAATACTTTATTTATATATTCGCACATTTTACATAATAATCTCTTTCTACGATTTACCAATCTTTTATCAATGATAATATTTTTTATTATAATACGTTTAGAATCATTCTCTTGTAAAAGATAAATTCGGAAAAAGAAAAAAAAAAAGAAAAAAAAGAAGGACGAAGCAAAAAAGAAGGAAGAAAAAAAATTCGATACACTTTAATTTACCTATTATTTTATTTATTTTTCTTTTTAACAAATAGGTAGGAGCCTATTGTTATGCCGAGTTGGGTTGTATGATAAGGAAGTCAGGAGCTGATTATGCGTATATCATGGAAACCTTTGGACCTTTTATGGCCTTTATAAGACTATGGATCGAGTGCATGATAGTACGGCCTTGCAGTCAAGCTATCGTGGCCTTGACATTTAGCATTTACGTTTTAAAACCTATTTTTCCTGATTGTGCACCACCAGATGATGCTGCACGATTACTTGCTGCCTGGTGTATATGTAAGTTGTATATATATACACATATATATAGTAAAAACATTTAGTATTATTAGCCTTTTAGTTATACTTAAATTTTTTTAATTATGCCTCGTCATTAAAGTAACTGATGATTATATATATATATATATATATATATATATATTTAAAATAATTAGTCATTTAATTGAATCAAAATTTAATTAAAATGTTATTGTTAATGATCTATCATTGAAGTAACTGATTATACGTACATATAGTTCATAGTATATTAGGTATAAGTTAAGGATTAAATTCGAAAAAAAGGTGGAGAGGATTCGCTTGGGAAGAAAGTTTGTTTGAAAAAATGAGAAAGGAGAAAAGGAAAGGAAGTTCATTCATTTAACTATACATTTCTGGCCTTGAAGTGATAACAACATTAATTGAAGATAACTTGATTCCCACCGACACAATTTTGTTTCATTCTCTTCTTCCCCTTCTTTTTCTTTCTTTTTATTTTTTATCTTCGTTCTCAGCCTTCTATTTCGTCGATAGTCTTCTTTGATTTTCTACGGACCCCCATTGAAAGATAGAGAAAGAAAGAAAAAGAGAGAGAAAGAGAGAGAGAAAGAGAGAGAAAAAGAGAGCGAGAGAGAGAGAGAGAGAGAGAGAAAGAGAAAGAATATGACATAGTTGAATGCCGTCTATCCAGCTTGTACAATATGTATTACAAATGGATCATCTTCATAATACACGTTTCTCAATTCGTCTCTATTAAATTAATTACATCTCGAAAAGAGTTAACAGATAATAACTCATAGAAAGATTTCAACGAGAGGAAGAGTGACGGATAAATTTTTATTCGAAAATTTCATTCATTGATATGCTTTTAATATATGACACATGGCACATTGATGTTATTAAAATGATTTATATTAGATGAAAGGAGAATAAAGATAAACGTGAGTTATAATAAAGAAAAAATATATATATATATTTAATATATATTATTCAAAGTAATTAGTACTTCTGTTTATTCTATTTTATTATAACATTTTATATTTATATAGTATTAAGAGTAATTAGGAGGAAATATATACTTATTAATATATATATATATATATTTTTTTTTTAAACTAGTATTTATTACAACAGTAATTTATATATTAAATTAATACCAATATACTATATATATATATATACACATATATATATATATGTATGCTAGTAAATATTCTCTGGTATCGAAAAAAAAGTAATTTTAATATTACTGATATTAAGAGATGAATTTTTTTTTTTTCCGGTATTAAAAACACTAATACCTTTTAATACCATTCTTTTAAGAGAGATCAACATTTTAAATTCTTCTTAGTGCGATA